ATAGAATATTCACAATTAGAAATGAGGAAGGAATTAAAACATTTCATTACAAGAAAATTAACTTAAGTAGAAATGAAGGCAGTAATGGAGTAAATGAAGAAGTTATTGCAAGATATACAGACTTTGGAATAGTAAAAGGGCATTAAGTAAAAAGTGAAGAAATCTGAAAAAAGTATGGACTTTAGTCTATAAAAACATATCAGTATTTGGTTTATTAATTATAAAAAAGTAACATATTGATCTAAGATACTAATAATAAAGGGAGAATTGAGTGTGGATCTGTAAATTTCTATTATCATTTCCATTTTTTCTGTAAATTTAAAACTATTCTAAAAATTTTGGTCTAAAATAGATTTTTGGTATGGTAAAATGTTATTAACAATAATGGTTCTTTGTAATGATTGCCCATATTCCCCTCCTCATTCTCAAAACTCAATAAATTTACCCATTTTGCCATAGTAAAAAAAAGTTAATGTAGAATATTTTTTGTTAAATCAGAACATATTTTATTTTATTTTTTATTCATTTTTATTGTTATATTAATCACCATACATCATTAGTTTTTATTTTATTATGTTATGTTAATCACCATACATTACATCATTAGTTTTTGATGTAGTGTTCCATGATTCATTGTTTGCTTATAACACCCAGGGCTCCATTCAGTATGTGCCCTCTTTAATACCCATCACCATGCTAACCCCTCCCCCACCCCTTCCCCTCTAAAACCCTCAGTTTGTTTCTCAGAGTCCTTAGTCTCTCATGGTTCATCTCTCCCTACGATTTCCCCCCCTTCATTTTTCCCTTCCTGCTATCTTCTTCTTCCTTTTTTTTTTTTTTTTACATATAATGTATTATTTGTTTCAGAGGTACAGGTCTGTGATTCAACAGTCTTACACAATTCACAATGCTCACCATAGCACATACCCTCCCCAATATCTGTCACCCAGCCACCCCATCTCTACCACCCCCTACCACTCTAGCAACCCTCAGTTTGTTTCCTGAGATTAAGAATTCCTCATATCAGTGAGGTCATATGATACATGTCTTTCTCTGATTGACTTATTTCGCTCAGCCTAACACCCTCCAGTTCCATCCACATCGTTGCAAATGGCAAGATTTCATATTTAGTCACTGATATTAGACTTATATATTAAATCAGTGATTACATGTTAATTGTGTACAAAATATTGTATTAGGTGCATCCTTTATTATTGTTCTTTAAATATAGCCTCTGCTTTCAAATTCTTAAAAAACTAACTATAGAATTAAGAGGTAGACCAGAGTGTTTCAAACTTGGTACCATTGAAATTTTTGGCTGAACAATTATTGTAGAGGGCTGCCCTGTGCATTATAGTGTGTTTACTAGTATCTCTGGCCTCTACCAATTTATGCCAGTAACACCCTTCCATAGTTATGACAACCAAAAGTAAAGAATTCTCTGTACTTTTCAAAGTTTTTTTTTATAATTCTATAACTGTTCTAAAAATTGAAGTCTATTAATTAAATGAATAACAGTTCCATACAAAAATGTTTTAAAGATATTTATGGAAATACTACATCTTGGTAGTTAGGATGAACTTAACATAAAATTTAACCTTTATACAGAGACTTTCATGTACATTTTCTCATGTAATCATCTGAAGAGCCCTGTGACATAAACATTACTGTTGGTAGTATTGGTATTAGTATTATTTTTATCTCCATTTTATAGGAGAAAATTAAAGCTTAGAAGGATAAAGTGACTTGCCCAAGATCACTCAGCTTGTATACAAAGGCAGGAACTAAAACTAGACATTTTGATGCTTTTTTCATTTCAGCATGCTGCCTCCCATGTCACCATCTGTAGATATCATATAATAAAGAAAAGGGAAGAACATTGTCTGATGCATTGGCTTCCATTGTAACATCTGACCTAACATTACAATATTTAAAATGGAAGCAAGAGAATTGTAATTTATGAGCTCTGGGAACTCATTCAGATTGGGTTATGTTTCAATAGTTTAATTGTTGTTGTTGTTTTGCTTACTTGACTTGTTTTATTACAGTCTGCTTAGATAATGACCAAGAATAGATTATAATAATTTATATATTTAGCTTAATATGTATGTTATATTTTGGATGCAATAAATTGATATATCCATATTTCTTTGTGTACTAATTTCTTACTTCTTAATGAGACACAAGCCACAGTGGCCTTTGTCTTTTGAAACATAACAAAATTGTGTGTGGTTCATGTTGATAGGATTTTGATTCTAAAAATCTGTATTTTAATTATAAATAATACTGCAGATATCTAATAAATTTGTGTGCCCAAGTAAACACATCCCAAACTAGTCAGTAATTAAAAATGATTTTTTTGTCCTTAACCAAATTAGGCTGAAGAAATTTCACAGAATAAAATTATTTCCTGGCCAGAACTTCCCAAAATATATTCCTCCTTTAGAATATGCTCCTCTTCAATAAATGATGGAGTATACATGAGGAAAGCTAAATAATATGACATTGATGTTTGATTGACTCAGTGTAAATCAAACCATTAGTTGAGCAGAGGAAAGATTAGGTTTCCTTAACCGAGTTAAGTGAAACCTGAATGATTTCTTGCCTATGGTGAGAAGGTATTTTTCCTCTCAAAAACAATTATATTTTGTAGCAGACAATTTTTAAGGATATTCATACCATGCTACCTCAAGTATCCATGTAATACTGTGAACTGAATGTCCAAAAGAGCCTTTAAAGGTTAAGAAAATTCAGAGATTAAAAAAAAAGAAGATTCAGAGGTGAATCATTTATTTAAATTAAACAGAAATTAATGTCGCCCAGGACCAATTATCTTGAAAGAAACACAGGCCGAGTTAGGGGTGGGGGAAACTAAAACTAATGGTGGTTGGAAAATGATGCCTGAAAGCAAGAAAGACAATAGTAAAAAAATTAAGTATGTTCATCCAAGCATTAAGTTTCTACTGATTGTAAGCCTCTATATGCTTGTGTTAATATTTAAATTCCACCATTGTGTGTTGCTGAAAAAACATGTAGACAACTTTCTTCATTGTAAATTCAACAGTCATCATATTTGCTTAAATAGTCAAAAGGTACAAATTTCCAGTTAGAAGATGAAAGAACTATTATGGACATTGCTGCTATGAACATTGGGGTGCATGTGCTCCTTGTTTTCACTACATCTGGATCTTTGGAATGTGGAAGGAGCCAAGATGTCCTTCAACAGATGAATGGACAAAGAAGACGTGTTCATATTTACAATGGAATATTACTCAGCGATCAGAAAGGATGAATATCTACCATTTGCATGGACATGGATGGAACTGGTGGAGATTATGCTGATGAAATAAGTCAAGCAGAGAAAGACAATTACCATATGGTTTCACTCATATTTGGAACATAAGGAATAGCATGGAGGACCATAGGGGAAGGGAGGGAAAACTGAATGGGAAGAAATCAGAAAGGGAGACAAACCATGAGAGACTCTAGACTCCAGGAAACAAACTGAGAGTTGCAGAGGGGAAGGGGTGGAGGGATGGGGTACCTGGGTGATGGGTATTAAGGAGGGCACGTGTTGTGATGAACACTGGTTTTATGTGCAACTAGTGAATTGTTGAACACTCTTTCAAAAATTAATGATGTACTATATGTTGGCTAATTGAACATAATAATAAAAAAATAAAAAATAGAAAACAAACAAAAAAAAGACGAAAGAGCCAAGATGTCCATCGACAGATGAATGGATAAAGAAGATGTGGTATATATATACAATGGAATATTACTCAACAATTGGAAAGGATGAATACCCACCATTTGAATTGATGTGGATGAAACTGGAGAGTATTGTGCTGGGTGAAACAAGTCAATCAGAGAAAGACAATTATCATATGGTTTCACTTATATGTGGAATATAAGAAACAGTGCAGAGGATCATAGGAGAAGGGAGGGAAAACTGAATAGGAAGTAATCAGAAAGGAAGAAAAACCATGAGAGGCTCTTAACTACAGGAAACAAACTGAGGGTTCCCGGAGGGGAGGTGGGTGGGGGTGGGGTCATTGCATGATGGGCATTAAGGGAGATACATGATGTGATGAACAATGGGTGTTATATGCAAATGATGAATTATTGAACTCTACATCTGAAACTAATGATGTACTATATGTTGGCTAATTGAATGTAAATTAAAAAAAGTAAAAATTAAAATAAAATCTATTGATCTGGAAAAAAAAGAAGATGAATAAGCTCTGGGGATCTAATGTACAGCACGGTGACTATAGTTAACAATATTGTATTGTACACTTGAAAGTTGCTAAGACCCTAGATCTTAAGTGTTCTCACCACACACATGAAAAATAGTAACTATGTGAGGTGATGGATGTGTTAACTAACCTTATTCTGGTAATAATTTTATAATATATACATATATGAAATCATTACACTGTACACCTGAAACTCACACAATGTTATATATCAATTATATCTCAATAAATCTGGAAAAAAGATATAAAATATGGAAATTGTATATTTTCTTGATGGGGCTGACATTGTAAAGAATGTTATGGAACTCTTAAGTTTGAGATTCTTCAAGAAACACATAATGAATATTCCATGGAGAAGCTTCAGGACATAATTAAATTTGAAATGTATTTTGAATCATCACTACAATTTTATGCCTAATGGCATAATTGTGATACCAATAAAAAACAAAGAAAGAGGCTAGCATTTTGAAATTTATGTTTGTACATATAAAAATTACCATTAGCCCTTCAATGGAACTATACATATTTATGGTTCCATTCCAAGTATTACTATGCACTATGATACTTCACTTTAATGGAAAATTAGTAATTATAGCGAAATATTTAAAATTGGAGGACAAATTTTAATTTAACTTTAATCCAGTACATTTCTTTTAGAAGTTGGTGTGTCCAAATTTCCACTGGACATTTGCACACTCACTAAGAGAATAAACCATATTCTCCCTCTTACCCACCTTTCAGATTGGATACACAAAATCCTGAAGAAATGAGTGTCAACAGATCTGAGGAGCAGTTCCATGCTATAAACCATGCAGAGCAAACTCTCCACAAAATGGAGAACTACCTGAAAGAGAAACAACTGTGTGATGTACTACTTATTGCTGGACACCTCCGAATCCCAGCCCATCGGTAAGTATCCTTATGCAGATAGATATGAGTTTCATGAGTATAGCATGTGAATGAGAATGAACTGGTCCATTGAAAACAAATTAGAATGCTGAGGAGAATATTTTCTTATCTTCCTACATTGAAAAAGCATTAGCATATATGATCCATTTCCTTGTGTGATATTTAGAAGAGCCAAACTTCAGAGAAATTGATGCAAAACAGCACAAACCCTCAAAAGAAAATCAACCTACTTAATTTACCTTTCTAATTTCACTACACTTTACTAAACTCTGCAAGATTCATGCAGATAACAAACTCAGCAGTGTTACAAACTTACTGATTGTACTTCATGATTTTCAATGAGACTACTGACTAATTTAAGTTCCTATGAAACATTCCTATTTTAAGGTTGGTTCTCAGCGCAGTGTCTGATTATTTTGCTGCAATGTTTACTAATGATGTGCTTGAAGCCAAACAAGAAGAGGTCAAGATGGAAGGAGTTGATCCTAATGCACTTAATTCCTTGGTGCAGTATGCTTACACAGGTAAAGTGGCATGAATTAAGTCATTCAATCCTCACAATAACCCTACATTATATAATCTACATTATTATTCCAACTAGAAATGAGAAAACTGAAGGATCAACCAGTTAGGTAGCTTTCCCAAGGTAGTAAGGGGCAGAATCAGAATTTAAATTCAGTAGTATAAAAGAATAAGACATAAATAATATGTTATAAAAATTTTGACCATGAGAGAATAAAGCTATTTTAACACAAAAATACAAGGACATGTCTGTCTCTCTCTTGAATGGTGTGGGTATTTTCTCATTTTTTAAATTTATTTATTTATTTATTCGTTTATTTATTTATTTAGAGTATATGAGAGGGGAGAGGGTCAGAGGGACAGGGAGAGAGAATCTCAAGCAGACACCATGCTCAGCACTCAGAGCTCAATGCGGGGCTTGATCCTAAGACCCAGTGATCATGACCTGAGCTGAAATCAAGAGTTGGACACTTAACCAACTGAGCCACCTAGGCACCCCCATTCTCATTTGTAAAAACTAGAATTGTAGTATTCCAACTCTATATTAGAGACATAGTCTCTTCCTTTGAAATAATAAAGTCATATTTACTCAAACTATAAGACAAAGGTAACAAGATGAGTTTGGAGGCCAATAAGTATTTATTTATATATTCCAACTTTATTGAGCAATAATTGGCAAATATAATTTTATATATTTAGATTATACTATGTGATGATTTGCTATACATACACAAGTGGAATGATTACATAGATGAAGGTAATTAATGCACACATTATCTCAAATAGTTAATTCCTTTTTTTGTGGCGAGAATCCTTAAGATATACTCTCAACAGTTTTCAAGTATACATTACTGAATACCATATTATTAACTATAGACACCATGCTGTACATTAGATCCTCACAACTATTTAATCTTATAACTGAAAGTTTACACCCTTTGACCTACACCTCCCCAGTTCCCCCTCCCAGTCCCTAGCAACCACCAATCTACTTGCCATTTCTAAGAAATCAGAAAAAAAATAGATATATTTCCTTATCCATTCAACTGTTGAAGGACATTTAGGTTCGTTGTTTCCATTTAGCTATTATAAATAATAGTGCAACAAACATGGGAGTGCAGATATCTCTTAAGATCCTGATTTCATTTCTTTTTTTTTTCACAGTTATATTTTTTATTTGATCGTAAATTCAGTGGTGATTAAACAGCCCATTTCATTATAAAATATAATTTGCTTAACGGTTTCCCTTTTATGTTCACTTAAATTGCTCTTAGGTTTTTGCTGTTAGAAATATTACAGTATGCATTAAGATATTGGCCCATATAAGTTATTATTTTTTTATTTTTTATTGTTATGTTAATCACCATATATTACATCATTAGTTTTTGGTGCAGTGTTCCATGATTCATTGTTTGTTCATAACACCCAGTGCTCCATGCAGAACGTGCCCTCCTCAATAAAAAATATGGAACGCTTCACGAATTTGCGTGTCATCCTTGCGCAGGGGCCATGCTAATCTTCTCTGTATCGTTCCAATTTTAGTATATGTGCTGCCGAAGCGAGCACCTGATTTCATTTCTTTGTACATATAATCATGAGTAGGATTTTTGGATCATATGGTAGTTTTATTTTTTAATTTTTTTATGAACCACTATACTGTTTTCCATAATGCTGTATTAATTTACATTCCTACAAACAGTGCATAAAGTTTCTCTTTTCTCCAAAACCTCACCAACATTGGCTATCCCTTCTTCTGATTTTGATTCACATTTCCCTGGTATTTAGTAATTTTAAGCACATTTTCATATCCCTATTTGTCATTTGTATGTCATTTCTGGGGAAAAAAAAAGATCCAGTTTACTTGCTCTTTTTTATTTTTATTTTTATCATTTGTAAAGATTTTATTTATTTATTTGAGAGAGGGAGAGGGAGAGCATGAGGGGGAGTGGGGCAGAAGGAGAGACAGAAGCAGACTCCCTGCTGAGCAGAAAGCCCAATGCAGGGCTGGATCCCAGGACCCTGAAATCATGACCTGAGCCAAAGGCACACACTTAACCCACAGAGCCACCCAGGAGCCCCTAGTTGTTCTTTTTTTAATTGGATTATTTGTTTTCATGCTATTGAATTATATGAATCCTTTATATCTTTTAGATATTAACCCCTTATCAGATATATGGTTTGCAATATTTCTCTCATTCTGTAGATTGCCTTTTCAATATATTTTATATTTCCTTTCTGTGCAGAAGCTTTTTAGTTTGATGTAGTCCCACTTGTTTATTTTAGATTTTGTGGCCTGTATTTTGGTGTATTACCAAGAAATTATTGCCAAAACCAATGTCAAGGAGATTTTTTACTATTTTCTTCTAAGATTTTATGATTTTGTTCATTAAGAAATTAATATTCTTCTGAATAACCAGGCCAAGTTTCAATGTCTGTAGCAGGTGAATCTTAGATCTGAATCTGAGAATAGTTTATAACTTCTCTGGGTCTCATGAGATATAGGCAGGTCTCTCCCTTCAAAATCCATGACAAAAAACAAACAACTCAAGAAAGTCTGCTGATGGACAAGACCCTTTCACCACATATTTTAGAGGTTGAAACAAATAAAGAGCATCTCACAGTATGTATTTACTCTTTTATTTATGCTTGTAAAACCATATAGAATCCATATTAAGGCATCTTACAAGGAGAAAATATAAAGAAATAGTTTATAGTACATATACTCCATATGAAATATCATTTTTTATAACTTACTTATACTTTGGCTAAAACAAAAAAAGGATATAACAAAATGCAAAATAACTTACATTTGCAATAAGTCATCAACAATGCTTCCTCTGAAAATTTTATATGTATGTGCATACATACATATTTAAATATATATATATTATATCTCAATATAAAGGAAATAGCTTACATAGCTCTGATCTCATTCTAAAAAAAATCTCTTCACAGATATTTTCAAACAGAGCCAGTTTTTTATATCTAAGAAAATGATCATACAAACATTTATTTGAGGACTGTTAACAATATTATTTTTCTTTTGAGACAATACCAGGTATCAGTTCCAGGCATAATATCTGAGCAAATTCATCCTTATCAGCTAATAAATGCAGACAGGCACACAAAAATATAGACATATAACCTCAATGCTCTACTTAGTTATCAATTTTTTTTCCATACAAATGATAGTTACCTGTATGGTCATTATACAATATGACAAAATACTCCTTGAGTCATGGTATTTACAGTTATTTATATAAGATTTATTTATTTATCTGTTTACTTATTTATTTAATTTAGGTGAAAGAATTGTAGATTTTTTTCTTTTTTTATTTAAATTCAATTAGCCAACATATAGTACATCATTAGTTTCAGATGTAGTGTTCAATGATTGATATAAGATTTAGATGAGGTCTAAGATGACAAAGAAATAACAAGTTGCTGTTCTTTACAATAAAGGTGTTCACTGTTCATTTGCTACAGTTGTTTTTGATAATCTAGTCTGGCTACCTTCAGCCATCTTATTAATGTTATTACAGACTCCCTTGCATATGTTGGCTTTGAAAGGTATTTCCATAGTGGTTACTGTGCACTAGAAAAGATAGCCCTAGTAATGAGAGAAATTGAAAAATTCAACTAGTTAGCATATATGTGTCTTACTTTTGGGACATATAATCATTCTTTACTTTTTCAAACCATCTAGGTGTTCTGCAGTTAAAAGAAGATACTATTGAAAATTTGTTGGCTGCAGCTTGTCTCTTGCAGCTGACTCAAGTCGTTGAAGTCTGCTCCAATTATCTCATAAAGCAGCTCCATCCTTCAAACTGCTTAGGAATTCGATCATTTGGAGATGCTCAGGGCTGTACAGAGCTCCTAAGTGTGGCACATAAGTACACAATGGTAAAATAAATTGCTTCAAATTAACTTGTAGTAATATTATATTAACACAATATCTGACTTACTGACTGGTTTACTGATATGTATTTGTACATATGCATGTGTGTGTGTGTATATATACACACAGCCTTTCCAATGGAAAGACTATAATGTTGGGATAAAATTGAAGAGCAATATAAATTTATATAATTTGCAAATGACTTGCACATAATGGATATTAGATAAAAATATTTGGTTGAGCTGTACTCAAGCAAGTTTCTCATTTTTTAAACTGAAAAGGTTTAATTAAATCTCAAAGCTTGGAGAAATGAGAATACTGCAAAAAATTAAATCATTTAAGGAAATATTTCAAGTCATATCCACAGTATTAGGAAAATATACTGTCCGTGATTTCTTTTTCTTTAATGATTTTTATTTATTTGGGCAACAGGGTGGCTCAGTTGGTTAAGCGACTGCCCTCAGCTCAGGTCAGGATCCTGGAGTCCCAGGATCGAGTCCCACATCAGGCTCCCTGTTCAGCAGGGAGTCTGCTTCTCCCTCTGCCCGTCCCCCTCTCATGCTCTCCTCTCTCTCTCAAATAATTAAATAATCTTTAAAAAAAAGATTTTTATTTATTTGACAGAGAAAGAGAGAGAGAGAACACAAGCAGTGGGAGAGGCAGGCAAAGGGAGAGGGAGAAGCCTGATGTGGGACTCAATTCCAGGACCCTGTGAGAATGACCTGAGCCGAAAGCAGATGCTGAACTGACTGAGCCACCCAAGTGCCCATCCGTGATTTAAGTTTTTATTTACATTCCATTTAGTTAGCATACAGTGCACTATTAGTTTCAGGTGTACAATTTAGTGATTCAACATGTACATACAGCACCGGTGCTCATCACAAGTGCACTCCTTAATCCCCATGACCTATTTAACCCATCCTCCCACCTACCTGCTCTCTGGTACCCATCAGTTTGTTTTCTATAGTTAAGGGTCTGTTTCTTGGTTTGTCTCTCTTTTTTTCCCCCTGTGATCATTTGTTTCTTAAATTCCACACATAAGTGAAGGCATATGGTATGTTCCTTTCTCTGACTGACATATTTTGCTTAGTGTAATACTCTGTAGCTCCAACCACATTGTTGCAAATAGCAAGAGTTCATTGTTTTTGATGGTTGAGTAATACACACACACACACACACACACACACACACACCATTTCTTCTTTATTCATTCATCAGCTGATAGACATTTGGGCTCTTTCCACAATTTGGCAATTATTGATAATGCTGCTATAAACATCAGGGGGCATGCATCCCTTCAAATTAGTATTTTTGTATTATTTAGGTAAATACCTAGTAGTGCAATTGCTGGATGATAGGGCTGTTCTATTTTTAACTTTTTGATGAACCTCCATCCTGTTTTCCAGAGTGGCTGCACCAGTTCGCATTCCTAACAGCAGTGTAAGAGGGTTCCTCTTTCTCCACATCCTCACCAACATCTTTTGTTTCTTGTGCTGTTAGTTTTAACCATTCTGACAGGTGTGAAGTGATATCTCATTGTAATTTTCATTTATATTTTTCTGATGATGAGTGATGTTGAACATCTTTTCATGTATCTGTTGGCCATCTATATGTCTTCTTTGGAAAAATATCTATTCATGTCTTCTGCTCATTTTTTAATCAGATCATTTGTTTCTTTGTGCTTGATTTTTTGTAATATTAGAATTTTAGCTTCTAAAAGTGTATACATTATGATTTCTAATGAAAGTTAAATAACATTCAATAAGAAAAGGAATTCAATATAAAAACATTCAATAAGAACAAAAACTAATTAATAGATCAATATTAAGTGGAAGAGCTTAAGAACTATCAAAAGCAACTAATTCTACTGAATGGATATTTTATGTCTTAACAAAAATAGCTATTTTGGTTAAAAATGACTTGCAGTTCAATCCTTTAACGTAACTAACTTAAAATCCTTCTCAATTCTATAAGTAATCATAATAAATTAACTGAACATGTTTGTATGTGTTAATTCTTTTAAAATTGGATCGGATAAGACTATCTTTATTCAGTCAAGTGACAGTGACGTGAAATATAGATTGTAGGGAGACCAGAAAAAGTAGTCAGAGGATATTAAATTACCATTAATGCTAATAATTCCCTGATGCAAAGAAGAAAATGAACTTTTAGGGCACCTGTGGCTCAGTCAGTTAAGCGGCTGCTTTTGGCTCAGGTCATGATCCCAGGGTCCTGGGATCAGGCTCTCTTTTTAGCAGGGAGCCTGTTTCTCCCTCTCTCTCTGCCTACTTATGCGTGCTCTCTCTCTCTGTCAAATAAATAAATAAATAAATAAATAAATAAATAAATAAATATATAAATAAAATCTTTAAAAAAAAAAAAGAAAGTGAACTTTTGAACCCCTGAAGCAGGAAAATTATGAGATGGAACTTTCTGTAAAATCTGATCAAAAAGATAAATCTTTCACTCTAAGAAAATTGCTATGGTTATTTAAGATTCAAAAACAAAGAGGTAAGTACATAAAAGCAAACAATAGAGAATCACATCTAAAAATAAAATTAACATTATGAATTTATGATTGAGAGGCATATAAACAATATTTTGTTAACATTTAATACAGATCTTAAATTTTTCAACTTTCCAATATTTGAATACTCTAAATTTTCCTTGTAAAACTTTCTCCCTCTTTTTCCCATCCCTGGTCATTGTTCAAAATTTGAAGTTTCAAACAAAGTCCTAAAACTATAGTATTTTGGGGAGAATTATATTATAATGGATTGAGAGTTTAACATATGTTACCGAATCATACTATTTATATTCCTATGTGCTAAATACGGATGCCATATAGTCTATAGGAACATCAGTTATATAGCTCAAAGAATAATCCTACCACAAAAGCCAAACATGAAAACTACCTGTTAATTTACTTAAATTCTTAAACTAAGTATTAAGTTTCCTGTCTGTTATCTTACTCTCACTGTCAAAACACATTCTGATAAACAGCTTGAATTATTTTTGTTCCTCAAAATGAACTTGTCTTCCTTTTCTTATTATGTGGCTGAAACTGAGTGTTAAAGCAGGATTTGCAAAAAGCACATTACTGCTGTCTCACTTAACTCCCTTTCTTCAGTTATTTTAGTATCTACTATAAATAAAGCAAAGGAGGCAACGGTCTTGCTATAATAATGTTTTTGTAATACTGTATTGATATTATAAAAATACAAATAATTTTATTTTTTAAGAATAATTTTGAACTCTCAGGGCGTCTGGGTGGCTCAGTCGTTAAGCGTCTGCCTTCGGCTCAGGTCATGATCCCAGGGTCCTGGGATTGAGCCCCTCATCAGGCTCTCTGCTCCGTGGGAAGCCTGCTTCTCCCTCTCCCACTCTCCCTGCTTGTGTTCCCTCTCTTGATGTGTATCTCTCTGTCAAATAAATAAATAAAATCTTTAAAAAAAAGAATAATGTTGAACTTTCAAGACTCAATTACAAACATTTGAATATTAGACGGTGTAAAACATAATCTCCCTCCCTAATGTAAATGGGCTTCATTCAGAAATATCCTCACAGATACACCCAGAATAATGTTTGATACAAAGTCTAGACACTCCATGGTTAAGTCAAGTTGACACATTAAATTAGCCATCATAATACTATAAATAGTAGTCTGCACTGATGAAACACTCAGCAAGTATGTTATGTTTATCTAGTAAGTTTTACAACAAAGTAAGTGTGGATTAAAAAATGAGTATCAAACCTCTTGGAAAGGTATATAGAAGAAAGTGTTTATCTTGAGATTAGAAACAAAATAATTCAAAAATAAAACAATTTAAAATTAATCTTTAAGCTTAACTAAATATTTCTCTGCAGTACTGGATATTGCAGTGCCATGTGTATACTTTAAATCAATATATATATATTTTATTTAGACTAGGTTACTATATTGCCAAACAATTTTCAGTAATCTCATTGGGAAGTTTCTCTGGGACCATAACAAATTCTATCATAACTCTAATTTCCCACTATATAAATTGACCATCATATAAACTATTTGAATCATTTCTTAACTTTTTAAATGCATAACCAAATTTGATAGATTTTTCTATGATCCACATTAGCCATTGAGTAGGTTTTACCGACTAGGCCAATCTCTCTCTCTCTCTCATTAGCTTTCTATTTTTCTTTTCTTTCATTGGAGAGTGGATAGAAAGGAGAATGAGATAAAGGGTTTTCCGTCATATTGACAACGATATAAACTCTGAGTTTACATACACTACCAGTAATAGGTAACCATACATTTTTAGAGTTTTATCTTTTCCTTAACCCATTCACAAAAATTATATCACTTATGAAAGGCAGTTGCAGTGTTGAGCAAAATGGAGTAGACCTAAAGACTTAAGTTTGAATCTATACTTTGCCATTTATTGCACAGGAGACCAAACAATTCACATAGCCTATTTTCTCATCAGAATAATTTCACCACCTACAAGATCATATTGGTGATGACTTAATGTTTTTTTTTTGACTTAATGTTTGTGAAAGTGTGATGTGCTGTACAAATGTAACATATTATTAGTTATAGTACTAGTTCCATTACTTTGCTGTAGGTGAGAGGGTTTTCAACCAGGGACATCTGCTACATTAAAAACAGTAGTCTTCTCTTAATTGTTTACCTTAGTCACGAGAGGGCTCTTCATTTAAATAGACAATTTAGCTTGGAATTTATGGTACCAGAGCTCTCTGATGGGTCTATCAAACAATGGTTTTTGTATGAATAATTTTACTATTACGCTAACTCAGTTCAACAATGACTAAACTCTGAGTGGAGCTGAGGTAGTGATTTGATTTATCCAAGATTCCCCCAATTTATTTAGAGGCTGTTTTAAGCTGCTTCAAGAATATCTCTTTATTTGGCAACATAAATTATCAACTAGACAGGTTTATCTCCATTTTGGAAGTATATCACATTTAAAACGAGATTTTTTTTACTATGAAAAATGTTGAAAAAGGTAATTGTGTTGTATAGAAAAATATGCAACATTATAAATAAGAAAAAATATATAGTGGTGTTTTGATGAAAAAATTTGAAACACAGCTGCCTGAAATTTGATACTTGATAAAATATAACACTGTGACAGAAGAGAGAATTAAGGAATAATATATAAAAATTGCAAGACAATTCCATTCACCCCCCCTAAAAAATAACTCCATAAGAGTCCCTTTTGTATTGTCCTAAATCTGTGTATTATCCATTGTAAAATATAACTTTGCCTTGGTTAATAGATCATGCTTTTCCATAAGAGAAAAGAGTTTGTCATCAATCTGTTTGTCTCAACTCAAAGGAATTCAGTATGTTGCCCCCTCAAATGCACAGCCAGAGTTACCTCTCCCAGGTCTTCAAGGTAGCCTCCCCCTTGAAAATTTCCACCCTTTTTCTTAAGGGTTTTGGCTAAAGACCAACTCAACATCAATCAATTCTGGAGTTGTAAGTTGTTGCCACCCACAACAGCTAGGAGAGGAAAGCACTGGTATCAACTCAGGCACTACCCATGTGGCCTATGAAGCAATTAATCCCTTTGTGTTCAATAAATAATTCTCAGGGGAAACATTTGGCTCCTCAACTTCAGAAGACTCCCCATGCCCTCTGTCACAGGCAGCAATGACACCTATTTGTTATAAAAGCATATACCTGTCCCTCTGGTCTTTTCTGAATTTTAACAAAGCAAAATGTTCATATGTTTGTTTGGTTAAGACATTTCTAAAGTACAAAGTTTCAATAGAAAACCTTTCTTTTCTAGGAACACTTCATTGAGGTAATAAAGAACCAAGAATTCCTCTTGCTTCCAGCTAATGAAATTTCAAAACTTCTGTGCAGTGATGACATTAATGTGCCTGATGAAGAAACAATTTTCCACGCTTTAATGCAGTGGGTGGGGCATGATGTGCAGGCTAGGCAACGAGACCTAGCAATGTTGCTTTCTTATATCAGACTGCCATTACTTCCACCACAGGTATGGAAATTTACCCAGGTAACATATAGTTCTAAACTACCGCTAAACATAAATCCATTCTTTTTTTGTTTAATTTTATTTTATTCATAGGATTTCTGTTAATTGGAGTGTATAGTATTTGTCTCATAGGATTTCTGTTAACTGGAGTGTATAGTATTTGTCTCATAGAAGGACATATCCAACCTTCAATTAGCACTATTTATGATGCAGAGAAAACAAGTAGAAAAAATAAGCTACAGATAATCCCTAAAAAAAAAAATCTAAGAAAGCATATTCTTTAGTTTCTTATCAAACAGCACTTGTAAGAAGCAGAGAAAATGACGAGGCTTTTTTTTTCTTTTCCTGCCCACCGTCTAGGCAAGCTGATAATAACCAATATAGTAGCATCCCAAAGGAGCTTTATCAAGGAGTTAGTCTGGCTAATACTAACATGGTTAATTACCTGCTATGATTGAAATCATACTATAGTAGCTTCAGATGAACTACAGAATCATTATAATTACAACCTTATCATACATGCTGGAGGATAATAGTAAAAATGATTCTGAAAACAAATATCCTTGGATATAATTTGGGATTGACCTACCTTATACTGAATTTTAGTAAGTGAAGCTTAGTGAGGTTGGAGTGCAGTCTCATTATATACTTCTACCATTGGTGATAACAATTTTTCTCTGTAGCAAATTGATCAATAGTAGATATCAATTATATATTGTATATATATAAATATATTGCATATATGCACATTTCATATATTATATAGCTTGTGACTGAATTCATCAAATATCATCCACATTGGAAGGAAGAGCTTCATCTAGATCTAGTGGATCAGTAGTTTCATAAACATTAAAATTAATCAATTTTCAACAATTACTAATTAAATACTAATATTGAAAAATAGAATATTAATTTACTGATGATTTCTCTACTTTTTTTTACTTTTATCTGTTAATTAAATCAATGGAGCTACATATCTACTATAAAGAATTTATCCATATGCAATGAAAGAACACTGACTGCTTTCTTGGGTATAGCAAATTTATTCAAAGGGCAAGGCAATGGTAACACCAAAAAGAGAAACATTAAAATATACATGTAACTTTAGAACCAAGGTTCAGAATCTTTGGAAATTTTATGTTTGTGTGAATGTGTGTACACTTGCATGCCTTATTCTCATGAGAGGGTCTATATGATTTATTAGATTCTCTAAGGCAGTGCTACTCAAAATGACCCTGAACTAGCAGCTTAGTATTTCCTGAGATATTGTTAGAAACCCAGTTTTCCAAGCCTCCACCACAGACGTACTGAAACAATTTATGGGGGTGAGGTCAAGGAATCCATGTTTTAATAAGTTCACTAGATGATTCTTAGATATGCAAAAAAAAATTGAGATGCCCTGGTATAATGGATCAGAGGACCTTAACTTTATATTGCTTTTTCTATATGTTCTTTCAGCAAACTGCTTAGTTAGGACTTGTCTTACTTTATTGGAATGAGGAGAAATTTCCAGCCCAAACACACAAAAAATGGTCTTTGGCTTCCCATCCCTGAGTATGCCTTATGCCTAAAGTGTGGACTGTTGTGAACTTTTCCTAATGATGGCAGTGGTAGGTAATATCATACAGAATATATACCTTCCAAAACAACTTTAATAGTGACTTTAAAAAAATACTCTAGAAATGAAATATATGAAGAGAATGGTGGTAAATCCCTGAAGAATATTTTGAAAAAAGTTATATAACTCAGTTTTCAAACTTATTTTCAGCAGCATATGCATTAAGGAAATGCTTGAGGTCTCACCAGCCAAGTTAAAATAGTGATCCATAAGAGAACTAAGCTGGGATTAAGTACTGCAGAACAGGAAATTTCAGGGAAGTTTTATGGGATGAGATTAGCATTTCCACTCCAAACTGCAATTCCTCTCAATGTCGTATAATACTGTAGACCCAAAACTCCAATGAACCAATATAAATGACCCTTGGTAAAATTCTGAAACAAGCTCTTCACTTCTCAGCTCACCTCAAGAAAAATATTTTACTTAGCTTTTATCCCATTCAGTGAGGGTCTTAGTGTCTGCCAGGCAATGGTAGTTAGAAAGGATTGATCATCTACTATTGCTAATATTTTGGCTACCTACTAACACATATGCTTTACTGATGTACACATGTACATGTAAGATAAAAAGCATCTACTTTCAGAATACTTTACAAAAGTGATTTGATGATAAAGACGCAGTTCTTTATGGGTGATGTTACTTTATTTTAACTGGGCATGCTTGTACCAACTTCTCTAAATCCATCAATTAGGTAGCTGCTTATTTGGCTACATGCAGTAGACTGGAAGATGCTTGTTTTGTGTAGACATAGATAGTCTCTTGAACTGCTTTCAGTAACCCATTGTGAACTGCTTTCAGTAACCCATTTTCTAAGTGTCTTTTCACTTTCGCTTCTTGATATTATATGTGTATCTATTCAAAAGATGTATAATATGTCAAATAAATCTGAACAGATCAGTAGCTACTACTATGAGATCTTTAATCATTTTAAATCATAAGTGAACATAAACATATGTTACTAAGTAACTTAAAATACTAACACTTTTACATTTGAATTAGCTCAAGTTTTCTCCAAGGTTATATAAGCAAAAATATGTTATTTTTAATGGTAGGTTATTTACTTCATATACCATGCATCATTACTTTTCAGTTACTGGTGGATCTTGAAAACAGCTCTATGTTTGCTGGTGATCTTGAGTGTCAGAAGCTCCTAATGGAAGCTATGAAATACCATCTGTTACCTGAGAGAAGACCTATGATGCAAAGCCCTCGGACAAAGCCTAGAAAATCAACTGTGGGGGCACTTTATGCTGTGGGAGGCATGGATGCTATGAAAGGTAACAGAAACGATTAATTTAGAAAGTATCATTCAAAAAAATATGTTCTCAACACCCCCGAAATTATGAAGGTGGAATTAAAGCAATATTTAATTTTGTGCATTTAAAGCTAATTTTAATAAATAGCATAATTTATGTAATTTTACAATTTTTTTCTTACCTTATGGGACATAATCCTTTAATTACTGTTAGCTAAGCTCTTAATAGGTACTTTTATTTTATGGAAACAATTTTTAAATTAAGCATTTGCTTTGCAATATAAGATGTTTTCAGGGAAAACTTACTTAAGGTTTATCATAAATAGAAGGGTTTAGCAAATTTGTATAAAGAAAAGCATATTTGTTTTTTGACAGAAATAGAAGGGGGCCTTGATGTTAAGTTCCTATTAGACGCTTAAAGACCAGTTTCAAAGAATCTTGAAGTGTTGGTGCTACAGGATAGAAAACTGGTTCCAAACTGAGGTTCAACTGCTTGCCATGTGAAAGTCAATACTTGAGAGACAAGTAATGGTGGGAAAAGAAAGGTTACTTTATTCAGAAAGTCAGCATCTTGAGAAGATGGTGGACTAATGTCCTGAAGACCATCTCCCCAGTATAGATGAAACCAGAGGGTTTTAAAAGAGAAGTTTGGGAAATGGTGGGGGCTATGTACAGGGGCAGTTAATCATATGTCAAGCAGTTAAACATATGTCAACATGACCTTGAACAGACTTGCTGGGCAGCTGTTTTCAAATGTGGTCAGGCCTTATCTTTTGGGATAGTCTGGCCCTTCATTCCTTAAGGCCAATGGTCTGCAAAATCTCAAGGAAAGTAGGTTAATTCTATTATAAACCAAGGGACTTAGGTCAACAAACAAGGAGTGCATAAGCTTGAAGTAAATTAACCATTAATACCAGTTGGAGTGCTGTTACAAATCCCCATTGTCAATCCTTCATTCCATTTCTATGGAACATACATAGAGGTCCATCATCTATAACTGCTTCAAGCTGAATTAGGGCAGACTATGGGGTTTGGAATGGAAGGATTTGACATGAGTGCAGGATTTAGCTTTTGGTTCCTTGTTCTCATGGAGGGGTATCAGAGGTAGTTTTTTATCTCATTTTTCTACATTGTTTGGCACTACATGGCATCATTAACTTTATCCCCAAGTATAGTCTAAGGAATAGTAACAGTACAGTTAAGCCCAATTTTATCATTCCCTCTAAAATTGATTTGATACCAAAAGAAAATACGTTTCAAAGAGAATAGATCAGTAAACCAGTCCCAGCCACCCTGGAAAAATGGGATGTTGTGGGCAAGGGCCTGTTGCAGCCATGTGGCTTGCTGCCTGATTTTGTCTCTCTGGGTTCTTACTTCCAAGGACTAGATAATATAGGTACAGCAATCAGTGTTTGCTATTATATAAACTCTACCTTGTTCAGCAAGCAATCAGGTACTTAATAAGAGGCATTTTTCCCCATATCTTCAGATGAATTTTATCTGAGTAATCTTAAAAACAGCTACACACATTGAGAGCATAGCAACACAAACGTATGTAAGCTATATAAAATATTCTATTACTGAGGTTGGTGTACTTTCTTTTATTATTATTAACATATAATGTATTATTTGTTTCAGGGGTACAGTTCTGTGATTTATCAGTCTTACACAATTCACCACAACACATATCCTCCCCAATGTCTATGGAAACAAACAAAAAACAAAGGTTAATGCTTGGAGCAAATTATAAACCCAGTATCTGGTTCTAAGTAGTCCCAATGAGAGGCGTTTTAGATGTCAGGCTCAAAGCATCCTCAGATGGAGTGGGAACAGACACTGGCAATCTGATGGATTTTTATGGTTTATAGTTTAAATGTCTCCAGTGATTCTTTTTAGTGGTTCATAGAGCAACAGGCATGAAGATTGTCTATATATGAGCTATTGTGGCAATTTCTCTGAAGTTTCTCCTGAGTTGTCTAGCTTCAATTTTCAGGGCTTCAGGAAAAAAGGCAGTTTTATTTCTTAATTATTTTAAGACAAGAGAATAGGAGAACATTGGAAACGTTATTTTGGAAAGTCATAGCCAGATATTGGAGGAAACCAGAAGAATTTAGATCCAGCTCAGTTTTATAAGGAAACAACAAACACTCAAAGATAATCAGAATTAGAATCTAACATCCATGAAGGTGTGTTAATGAAATATAATCTTGCTCTCTAAATTCACCTTCACTCCTGTCAAAGATAGACAAATTAAGACTAATTTGTTTGTAAGATAAGTTTAGTTTTAATAAATTTAATTAATTTTTATATAATTATTTATATAAGTACAGCAAGAATGGTGATTGACCATAGAGATTGTTTTAAAACCTGCTTTGGTGGAAGGTTTTCCAATGAATTTTAGATTAAACTTTCAATAGCCTCTCAAAGCCAGAAGCCAAGTCAAAAACTTGTCATAAGATTTGCCTGTAATACCTGTAGATTTGAGTGATTTCTTTTTTTCTGAGGTCCCTGAAATATCTTGAGATTCCTGCACCTTCCAAGAACTGATATTTTTTACTCACCCAGTAAGGCTGGCGGGAACTCTGTAAGCAATGTGCCAGGCCAACATTTCCAAGGGTCTTTACTGGCTCCATACAGTCAACTTTAGTTCCTTAAAGCTGTCTGGTTATATCTGAGTCTATGTATGTCTTTCTTAAATATGACATTCCACTTAAAGCCTTGGTAAAATAACCAATGTTTCCAATGGTATCTTGTTATAAGAAGTACCCATTTACATTGAATTTATGCAAATAATGACTATTACCATGACAGAAAGAATATTCCTTAAGAGTTTCCAAATTCTTCAGGGATCAGGTAGGGAGAAAAATAAATATTTCAGTTTGTTTACAAAAGAATATTTTTTAAAGATTTTATTTATTTGTTTTTGTCAAAGAGAAAGAGAGAGAACAAAAGCACAAGCAGGGAGAGGGGCAGGCAGAGAGAGAAGTAGGCATCCTGCTGAGCAAGGAACACAATGCTGGACTGGATCCCAGGACACTTGGATCATGACCTGAGCTGAAGGCAGACACTGAACCAACTGAGCCACCTAGGTGTTCCTACAAAAGAATATTTTTACCAAATTTCTGTAAGTCATAGATATCTTAAGAGAAAAAGTGTCCTTAAATTTGGAAAACATTAGAGAAACAGCAATGATTTAAATAAGAATTATAAAAATATAATCATTTTTAAAAATTTTTAGTCTCATATTGTTAATTCTTGCTCTGTTTGAATGCAGTTTTTCCATTAGTTCTGGAAATTCTTAGTTTAATTTTATGATCTTAAAAGTATCAGACCTGCATCTGTCAAAAGTCCTTTTCAGGAATCTCCTTGAAGCTGAAAAGCATTTGCAAGAACATCAGAATAATTGCAAGGGACAAAAGATTCAAAAACGGCCATGTTTAAAAATCTGATAAGAGTTTATTATAATGGGGCGCCTGTGTGGCTCAGTTGGTTAAGCGACTGCCTTTGGCTCAGGTCATGATCCTGGAGTTCCAGGATCGAGTCCCGCATTGGGTTCCCTGTTCAGCAGGGAGTCTGCTTCTCCCTCTGACCCTCCCCCCTCTCATGTGTTCTCTCTCTCTCAAATAAATAAAATCTTTTTAAAAACAGTTTATTATAATGTAGTTGTCAAGGAAATGCAGTTATTTCTGTGATGCAGAACATTTTAATAATTAGAATTACATGTGATGACATTATGCCAAGATATATTAAAATTTTAGGAATTTTACATAACTTTTAAAACCACCCTGACATTTACCCACATAATATAACCTAAGAAAATTAATCATTATATGTTTGACAATGCTTCCAGTGTAACTTAACATACCAAATAAACAAGACTAATAAATCAAAAAGACTTTATTTAGAATTTGAATTTTTAGTAAGTTTGTTAAGAACTTCAGAAGATTCTAAACTACATGCCTAAATAAGATCATAGATCACTATAAAATTTAAATTTTATTATTTATTTGACCAAGGTGACAATAAGAGATCCCACAGGCAAAAATAAAGGGTTACATAGTTGTTAGCAAAACTTAGTTCCTTTAATATTGAGAAGATTTAGTAATCAAAGACCTAATTAAAAACAAACATAGAAACTTCGTTTTTCTGTGCAGTTAAAGATAAAATACTTTGTTTATAATTTCTTATTAAGAGCAGACCAACAATAAAATAAATTTTGTCTTTTTAACAAAGTTAAGCCAATTTCTAGACAAAAAACAAATTCCAATCTTATATCACTGTACTTTTAAAATTCATTTATTCCAATCTTAGTGAGTCCTTACCATAAATATTTTTTTTCCAAAGATTCCCTTCATAAACTTTCTAACTGCTTTTTTAAATCAAATTTTGTCATAACTCTTACCTCTCTTAAATAGCCAGTCTTATTTTAGGAAAAATTACTTTTTCTCCCCTCAAAAAAATGTATTTTTATTCCTCATGCCTTTCTTACATATCTCCTATTTTCCTATGTACAGAGTTGTTTTCCTTACCATTTCTAGCAGTCTCAATCACATGTATCAAAATTTTAACTCTCAGAAACCTTTCTCCAGTGAAAACTAAGTAGTAACCAGTTGTGGAAGGTCTATTAGACCAGAATTTTTTAGATTGGCAAATTTATGAATATATTTTATATTTTATAAAATGTGATTGTTTTCATAGAACTTTTTAATAAAGCACAATACATGCTTATTAGCAGACCCAAGTATATTTAGTTTTCTGTAATAAGAAGCCAAAATCAGATAAACCTATATTTAGTAATTGTTAAAACATTAACATTTTATCTTATTTTGTAAAGATTTGGACATCCAATGAATTTAACCCAATTTATTATTTAACCTAGCAAAACTTCAAAGTTTCAAGTTACCAAAGATTTTGGAAGCTATTTAAAAGTTTACCTTTACACATTTTTTATCTATTCAACCTACTTGTTCTTAACATTTACCCATGTAAACTTCATTAGATAAAATAAATCATTAATTGTTA